GCTAAGCCATCGAAAGCTGCTCTTATATTAAATAATATTGTTGGCAATGACAACGTCTTTAATTATTTCATGAAAAATGCCAACGACAACACACCACAACACCTATACTCCTCCAATAAACTAAATACTTCAGTAGACAATCTAAAATGATTAAGCACTGATTTGTATTGCATGGAAAACACCGGAATTTGTAAGCACAAAACTCAGTCACGGCGATTGCAGGGTGAACTTTTCAGGAATTTCGACAATATCAGCGAAACTGGAGGAGTTTATTTTTACATTACTTTGATGAACTGTATTAATTAAATCATCGACTGGAGGACGAAAATAATGTCTACCTCCGGCAATACAATTCACTCATGTTGTCAGTGCCAATCAAGAAGTACGTACACGCCAATGAAGGTTTCTTACTTTCGAGGGGAGGGTGCAGTAAAGCATGAATGATTTAAACTTATTTTATAAAGTGCCATTTACGCCAATACTTATTCGTTAACATGGATGAATATGAGACAATTGGAAATAAAGTTCATGTGTCAACAATGCATGAAAAACCCTTAAACAGGCGAGTATTCAGTCTGGGGCAAAGTTTCCATCACTGAGGGAAAGGAAATTATTGAGTGATTCAAAATTGACTTCGGAATGAAAACGCGTCACAATATGAGATGTTGTTTGTGCTATTCTGTTCTTGTTAAATTATTGGCGGATTCCCGTCATCGGAGAACAATGATGAGAAAACGTTTGATGCTCGCGGCCTGAGCCTAAAATTAGATTTAAATGTTTGGGTAGGGTGTCGGTTTGTTCCTGACTTTTTTTAGTTTTCGTTGAAATTAGCCTATGAGAACACGTGCTACCTTTTTTTCTTTGTAAAACTCTACAATATGTACTGGAACAATTTTTTCCCTGTAGCCTTTAAATACGTTAATTTGGATATTTTCGTTTTCTTCCAATAATGAAAAGTTGTATTTTCTAGGTGGGCGCTGCTAGCTTTTGACTAAACCTAGCAGCGACCACGGATTTGGGATATATACAAAAGCCTAAAATTTGAAAATAGGGCATTTCATTATCCTAAACTTAGCTTTTAATTTTGCAATATAGTTTAGTGATGTTTGGTTTTTGGGTGCTGCTAGCTTTAGATGGCTAGTGATTCCATGTATTTCTCGGCTGCTGTTCTGGGAGATGCGCAAAACTATAATATAGGCTGGCGATTCATGTTCTTGGCTGCAATGGTGGTAGATGGGCAAAGCGTTTCGCTAGGTAGTGTAACTTAGTGATCTCAAGCTTCTCTGCTGTTAGGGTGGTGTATGAGCAAAGCTCTACCGTACTTAGTGTAACTTAGTGATCTCAAGCATCTCATGTGCTGAGGTGGGGTTTGAGCAAAGCTCTACCCTATTTAGTGTAACAGTGATCTTAAGCTTCTCGACTGTCGGGGTGGGGTATGAGCGAATCCATTCGTTAGCTCGTGAATCCTGCTGATTCCAAAGGTCTTCCGGGTGCCGAGCAGAGATATTAGTGAGTCCTCTTCTTATGACATGGCTGTCGAAGGAGCATAATCTTGAAAGAGCTCTGACAAGGAATGGCAATTTTAACAAAAACGTCTGTTGTAGATTACTCCTTTTTTTGACATTCGGTTAAATCTGATGGTTTCAACTTCTCAAAATAATCTGTTGTTGAAATAAAATATTTTTCATATTTCCATAAAAGTGGATTTGAGTCTACAAATCATTTACGTCGCAACACGAGCGAAACAGTCTATTTTTGCCAACTAGTATAATAGAAAACAATTTTACAAATTGTATGCAACGTATTTCGATTATCACGTGAAGATGTGTGACTAAGCACTAAAACGAAGAAAACTTACGTCCCACTTGATACAAGTTTTTTTTAAATTTATTCTCTTTCCCAAAAAAGGTTCTGCGTGGTTATTCTATTTTTTAGACAGCAGTTATTAGAATAGCAAAAAGATGTTGAAACAAAACTCAAGAACTATTTTTTTGTTTTTGTTTTTATCATTATAAACGACCTTTGTCATCACAAGGAATTGTTCGTAAAAGGAAGACTTATAAGAGAGGTTATGACGTATTTACCGTTTATGGAATGAATAATTGCGTCATCACAAATTCAGCCAATCACAGCGAAAGAATCGGGGGAGGGTGCGGGAAGCAGAACAGTCGACCTCATTTTTTCGCACTGATGTCAAATACCAAAAATTAATTTTGATTCTCTTATAAATTTATAATGTTGTTATACAAATATAACGGACGTAACTCGTTATAAATGTTGCTTTTTTTGCTTTCGTAGGCACATCGCAAAACTCGCCTCTAACGTCACTCATTATCAAAACACGAACCACTTATACAATAAAGCACGAATGTCCAAAATCCAAGGCCTCACGGGCCACACTTCAAAGCTTTGATATGGTTGCGAGCCATATTTTCATTACTCGGCAAACCCACGCCTGACCTCCCCGTAATGCTGATCTCGACACTTCGCCCGGCTGATGCGATATCGGGGGAGGGTGGGTGGGACCATGCGTGATATCAGGCCGTTCCATGCATTACGCAGTGAAACACATTGGGATAATTTTCGATTTCTGTGTTCACGAGGAATAAATTCTTAAATCGAAACTTTACCGGTTTTTACATTAAGGGGAGTGTTGACTCCAACAGGATGCGCGGGCTAGGCGAACAATGTTTTCTCGCGACATGGATGAAAGGAAGGGATTTTCACTTTTGACTATTTACATTCCGCGGGCCACAAAATATGGCTCTCTGGGCCGCCAGTTGGACAACCCTGCAATAGAGCATAATATAAATGAGTTGCATAATATAAATGAGTTGCATAATATAAATGAGTTGCATAATATGTGTTTCGGATGAAATGGGACGGCCAATGGCATGTGTAGCCCTGACGCGCGACGCCCCGCCCTGTTGCAGAGCCCTACCCGGCGCACTCGGGCGACAGCTTCTGCAGCTCCGACATCTCGCTGGACGGCAGCACCAACTTCGAGCAGCTGGACGAGGGCGGCGCCGACTCGCTGGCGCTGCACAACCTCGACCTGCCGGCGGCGGCGCCCAGCGACGGCCTGCTGCCGGGCCTGGTGCAGGTCAACCCCATCGACAAGCTGTACCTTATGCAGAACTCGTACTTCAGCACCGAGCAGTGACAGGGCGCGGGCGCGGGGGGAAGAGTATATAACGGCCCACCCCCCGCTCCTAAGGAGATAACGTTTTATTCCCAACAGGGAGAGAATACATGCACGGACGCAGCCTCTTATATTGGTTGACTCTCCAGCCCCCCGGCTGTTCACGCTATGTGCTCACGCTCTCGGATTGGGACCTCTAGTACTGGGTGTACGCGCGGTGCAGTACTGCGCGGGCGCCGGCGACGGCCCGTCGTGTGCGTCGCGGATTAGTGTGTCTCGCTCTGGCGCCAGGTCAACCTCGTCGCCTGTGGCCATGACCACAGTGCAGTTCTCTCAGTGCTAGATGCTGCCGAATCTACTGCTCCGCCAGAGCCTCTGTGTCGTCTGCGCTCCGCTCTCCTATAGGACTCCGCGGCCACCTGCTGTTCGAGACTCGCGTAACATGCTCTCCATGCGCGCGCGCCCAGCTGGTATTGGCTTACTTGCGCCCGGCCGTGTCGGCGCCAGTGCCTAACCTGCTGCTGCGCGGGTCTTTGGTGGATGTCTTGCTGTCACGGCGCTGCACTGCTCTGTTGTGTGCTATGAGAGGAGCTTGTTTGCGTGCGCGGGCGGGTCGGTCGGAGGCGGCGGCGGCGGGCGCGCGGCGCTCGTCGATGTTGACAGACGCACTGGACGAGTAGGACACGCTGTGGACCTCCGCGCTGCTCGCGTAACTTTCTCATAGGCCCAGCGGCGATAGAGGGTGGCACGGACGAAGCCCGCGGCGACTGACGGAATCTGCTGACGGAAACACCTTAGACTCTGTCAACTCGCCACTCGACAATCTCCCTGGCCTAACTCGTCTCCATCTTCCGCTAGTGTCGCGCAATGGCCCAACACTTTTATAATGCCCATTGGGACTGATTAGCCCGCGACGACACAAGGCGGTGTCACGGGTTGTCACAGGTTGTTCCTTTCTCCTC